ATATATATATATATATATACACATACACAGCTTTAATTAAAAATTTTAAATCACAAACATTACTATCGATTAATTTTTACGGTATAATTACAAAATAAATAAATAATATATATGAAAAAGATCACTTTTTTAAATGTGTACGATAAATATTAATTCCATTAATTAATATTGAAAATAATTACGAAAAAGTATCATGTATTTTTTCCAATTTTCATATACAACGGAATAGATTAATACGCGAGAAAAATTAGAATTATGCAATTATTTACTGATATCTCTATATCTTAAATACACATTAAATTTTTTATTATAGTTCGATTATATTTGAATTGTGCATTTGCTACAATATACGAATTACTATTAAGCAAAATCTTTAATATCTGAAGTGATAATAACTTTGTACACTTAATAATGTTTCAGATACAAATTAGACAATTCAAATCCACCGGTCTCGGCGCACTTAGACTACGTGATCTTGAGTAAACAAAATTTATGTGAATGAACGGAAAGTAACACACGTTACATTATACACCTTCTCCCTCATTAGGACTGCGTCTTGTGAAATAAAATCGGCAATATTTGATGCGGACACAAGTTTACGATGGGTGATTTCAGAGATGGCCCGACGTTGTGAAACGTAAGGGGCGCTTTACTTATGGTCCAATCTTCCATATCGTTGAAGAGTTTCGTCAAATCTACCTCACCCGATTCCGAAACGTTGAAGCGCCGCAGGAGAGAATTGTCAAAACAAGTGTCCAACGCGGATTGGTGCAACACCATGCCGATACCTTTGCCAGCACCCTCAGGAATGGGAAACACTCGAAGACTGATGATGCTTAAGTCTACTGGAAGATTGTATCGAAGCGGCGAGAAATGAGCGTGAAGATCGAATGGCAGAGAATTATGGGGATGTAACATTACGATTGGATGCAATAACTCTTCCGCAGCTAAATGACCGCTTAAAGACAATAATCCCGCCGGATGACTCTTTGGTATTGCAAAGGGACAATTCATTTCCTTCTTTTCAAGAGTTAATGTAAACATATGATTTGTTAACAGATTATCCATCACGCCTTGCCCTAATCCTCGATTGTCGTCTTGAAGTAATCTTCTATCTTGCATAATCTATAAAAATGATATGCGTATTAATAAACACACAATTAAGATAATTAAATAAAAAATTAAACATTGCATATTTACACACGTACACGCGCGCACGCGCGCGCACACACATACACACACAAACAATAAAAAGTTAAACATTGTATATCTAATTTTACTAAATTTGTAATAAACGTCTTTTTCATTCATAGGAAATTACAGTTTTTGTTATAGCTCAACTTTTCATTTTTCACGTTTATATTAAGATACACAACATTTTCTGAAGATAAAGTTGACTAATTTACCTCAAGTTGCCCAGATGCCATAGAAGCTACTCCCAATGGTTGTGCTGTAGCAACTGTTAATCTAACTTTTTTATCTTCTATATACGCGCTTGCTGCCATCGGATAATAGTTCCCTTGCGTGGGAAGCTTAGGGAATCTTTGCCGTCGGATTATCTAAAGTTAATCAGATAATAAAATATACATCGCAATTATTGTATTATCTCATTAAGAAAGTATAACAAATCTTGTCAAGAAATGCTCTAAAATACAATTTTTCATTTACTATAGCACATGCTTACATTGAGTCCATTTAAATCTGTGAAGAATTGATCGCCGGATGCAATGTTTGTATTGAAACGCATCGCAAGTTCATAGTTTTGTGTTTCCGTTATGTCAATTTCATTAAATATGTGCAATCCAAACCCATCACTGCCGGGAGAATTGAACAGTGTACAAGTATGCCGCACGTGCGGCAATTCTATGAACACTTTTGACAAAATTGGTCCAGTAACTAAATGAACAATCGCTCTGCCGTCCATAAACACCACATCTGGTTCCGGCTTGTCGGGCAGGAATAAATAAGCGCCACTTTTATCTTTACCGGAACCTCTGGTACCATATTTTACAAAATCTAAATGCACGGGAAACATAGTATTGCCAACTCGCAAAGCCTTCAACAAACCGGATTTCCCGAAAGAGGCAGATAAATCCGGTCGTTGAGAAATTGAAAATTCTTGCGTTTGCGATAAAATTGTCAGATGACTAAACCCAGGTATCGATGGGAAGCTGATATCAGTGTTGAAAATAGTGACATTAGCCATGTATACTTCCCTGTTCAAATAAGAAAAAAGTATACAATTTTATTTTTTAGTATGTATTAGGTTTTATACACTACGCATAAGAATTAAAGGATCACCTGTTCTGCCCTCCAAAAATAGACAAATTTCAAGAAAGTGTAACTTCGTCAAAAATGATCGTACCGAGATATTTAAAAAAGCATTTTACAGCTTGAAGTCTCTACTTTTCAGATCGATACTTTAGAAAACGATCTTACTAATTTTTTATAGAGTTACACAGATACAAATAAAAATGCGTCAAAACCGCAAAAAGGTGTACTAATTTTAAAAGGTTTCATGGCGTAAACTAAAAATCGCATACGAATGCTAATTACAGCTTTCGAAAGAATAAATCTCTACCTTCAATTTGCTTTTTTGTTGGGTGTTGTACGATTTTTTTTTTTTCACCAAGTTACTCAACATTGTAGCAAAAATAGTCCTTTTTGCTCTTACTCTTTCAAAAACTGTAAACTGTATTTGTATGCGATTTTTAATTTACACCATGGAACTTGTCAAAGTTCGTAAAAAATTTTGAGATTTGTCGAGTCTCCATTTCTATGCGTGTAATTCTCTAAAAAAAATCAGTGAGATCATTATCTAAAGTGTCGATCTGAAAAGTAGAGACTTCAAGCTGTAAAATGCTTTTTAAATATCTCGGTACGATCATTTTTGACGAAGTTACACTTTCTTGAAATTTGTCTATTTTTGGAGGGTAGAACAGGTAATCCTTTAATTCTTTTGCGTAATGTATGTACGATATTTTAAGATAATTAAAAAAATATACAGGGTGTCTCTTAATAGGTGTATCATTGTTCATAGGTAGATAGAACAGACTGAACTAAACAGAAAAGTCCTCTACCATTTTGCA